TCCTTCCTTAAGTATAGATAGCAAAACTGCATAATATGCTCCAAGTATCACCTCACTAAAGCTCTGTACTACATAAGTATGATTTCATTATTTTTTGTACTCCAGTCCCTTGCAATAATAGTCAACATTCAATTTGTGACAATGTAAACTTTAGAATTTAATAACTTAATGGATCGAAAAAATCAACAATAACACCTTCTGGAATAAACTGTTTCTCAAGATGAAAGGGACAAGGAGAAGCTGCTATAAAGGAATAAAAACACCATCCTAATTATATATATCTAGGAAAAGGCAACATAAACAAGCAGTTACCTGGAGAGAGGAGATAACGCTGCTTGATAACCTGCTGCCACATGACAAATGGACAATTAAGTCAGCTTGAAGAAGAAATGCCCTGAAGTAAAGGGTTTAATTACAGGAAGAGAGATAGCAAGAACTGCTGGAGTCAGAAACAGCACAGTATGGAGCTGGAGGAACACAGCAGGCCAGGCAGCATCAGAGGAGCAGGAAAGTTGACATTTTGGGTTGGGACCCTTCTTCAGAAAAAAGGGTCCTTCAGAAAGGTACCAATCCAAAACGTTAACTTTCCTACTTCTCTGATGCTGCCTGGCCTGCTGTGTTCCTCCAGCTCCATACAGTGTTGTCCTTAATTACAGGAAAAGCTGTGTTTTAGACAGACAGCTAACTTCGAATGTAACAAGGGACAGGGGAACTACTTCTGATAAGAAGACAAGCTACAGACTTAAGGTCTCCAAAAGTGTAAACAATGTTGGAGATGAAGTAATCTATTGAATCATCAATAATGTTACACCACAAACTTGAAAGAGAGAAAATTGTATCAGAATCCAAGGTTAGAACAATTTAGTAGCAGAACTTCAAAGAACAATGCTGCACAAGGATCAAACCTTGGATACTTCCGGAGACAGACACTGTTGGTGGAATGCTGGGCAAATTCCACCACTTATCGGATAATAGACAAATTAAGTTGTGAGGCTTAATTGGCTTACTTGAGGGATCTTATTTTGGTTGCAAAATGCAATAAATTTTAAATCATTGTTTCAATTCTTGATTGTCTGTGATATTTCTTAATAAGGAGTTGGATTCAAGGTAACGTTATTTTAATAATTTCTTTCTACATGCATGCTAATGTTCTGTGATTCTTGCACGAATATATCTGATTCCTTTGAACGTAATTATATACAAGTTTGACACTTTAAAAAATATTCTGGTCTTTTACTCTTACTACCGAAGTGATTGTCACACTTCCTATCATTATAATCTGGATGCCATCATTTCGCCCACTCACTTAAACTTTCCTTATCTCTTTGCAGCTTCTCCATGTCCTCTTCACAGTTTGCATTTTCATCCACCTCTGTATCATTGGAAACTTAGATCGATCATTCTAAGTGTCTAAATCATTAATATACAGTGTACTTAGATGATGCCCCAGCACTGATCCTCATGGCACTTCATTCATAACAGCCTGTCAACTTGAACATGCCACTTTTATCCATATAGAGATAACAAGGTGTAGAGCTGGATGAACACAGCAGGCCAAGCAGCATCAGAGGAGCAGGAAGGCTGACGTTTCGGGCCTAGACCCTTCTTCAGAAATGAAGGGTCT